AACACTGAACCACTCATTTTTGGCCCCACTCCAGAGCACACATCCCAGCCCAGAGCCCGCACCCCCTCCCAGCCCCCTGCCTCAGCCCGGAACCCCCTCCCATACTCCGAACCCTTCAGCTCCATCCCCCAGCCCGGAGCCCCTCCTACACCTCAAACCCCTCATTTTTGGCCCCACCCCAGAACCCGCATCCCCAGCCGGAGCCCTCACCCCCTCACGCCCCCCCACCCCCTGCCCCAGCCCGGAACCCCCTCGTGCACCCTGAACCCCTCATTTCTGGCCCCACTCCAGAACACACACCCCAGCCCAGAGCCCGTACCCCCCCCCAGCCCCCCTGCCTCAGCCTGGAACCCCCTCCCATACTCCGAACCCCTCGTCTGCATCCCCCAGGCCGGAGCCCCTCCTACACCTCAAACCCCTCATTTTTTGGCCCCACCCCAGAACCCGCATCCCCAGCCGGAGCCCTCACCCCCTCACGCATCCCAACCCCTACCCCAGCCTGGTGGAAATGAGGGAGTGAGTGAGAGTGGGGAGAGCGAGTGACAGAGGGAGTGAGCAGGGAGCGGGGCCTGGGAGGCAGGGCAGGGCTGTTCAGTTTTGTGTGAGTAGAAAGTTGGCAACCCTAAGCCTGGGACTGTCTTGTGTTTTATGGAACGACCTGGGAAAGCTCTTTCAGGCCTTCTTCACTCATCATCAAAAGCAGGAGCAGAAGATGGCAGCCCCCAGGCATGGGTGGTGGGTATAAGAGACCAGAGGGGGCTAAGCCTCCCCAAACAGACGGCCTGCTGCCTTTGGAGCACACTGCTGCCAAAAGGGTGGGCACCCTGGCTGTGGTCCTGCCCGCACTCCACTTGAGTTCCCGCTCCCACTCGTCCTCTTCCTGTCCCCAGTCTGCTTGCAGGGGAGCCTTGCAGGAGGGGGTGAAGAGACACATGCATGCACGAGGGGTGAGCGGCCGGAAGCCGGTGGGCAGGCAGGGGAACCCCAGGGGAGGGGCTGAAGAGGCGCAGGTGGGGATGAGTGGGGCAGGAGCTGGAGCAGGGGCGGGGCCATAGTCTGGGCACATGCAGCCTCCCCAAATGGAGGAGTCACGTGCCTCCCATATCCCCAGGTGTTATGTCACCTTTGCAGGTCCCCTTTCAGACACGCTAGTGGATGAAGTACGTGTCTGGGTGTATAGGGGGCTGCCCTGGGGCATGAGTCTCCCTGGCTGTGGAAGGGCAGAGCTCATCCCGGACAGCAGGATTTGCCAGGCATGTGGTGGGATTTGCCAAGCTGCTCCAGCCTGTAGATCCAGGCTGCCATCTGATCCCAGGTACTCTGGGGAGAGGCACCAAGGGTGGATCTTGGTGAGGCTGCTGGGCAGGTTGTAGATGGGTTGTAGCCCTGGCATCCACATGTGATCATTCCTCAGCACACCCTGATTGCATGACTGCCGATTCCTGTTATTGTCAGAACTCGCATACTTGGCCATGGTGCTTGTCGCGACCAGCACTGGCCTCTGGCTTCCTGCTGCTGTGAGTTCCCCAGGTTGATTTGGTGAGACAGTAATGTGCTCTGAGCAGCATGGAGTCTTCAGCAGGTGGGCACGTGTGTGTCATGGGCAAGGGGACCGGAGAGTTTCTGGGCCCAGTCCCCCACTCGCTCACCCCTCGTCTGTAAATGCGCCACTGCCTCCCGTTCCAGAGGCAACTTCATCGTGTACATGGACAGCGGCCCCAAGCAGCAAGAGCTGTACCCGCGCGAGTGGATGCACAACGACTTCCACTTCGACAACGTCCTCTCAGCCATGATGTCGCTCTTTACCGTCTCCACCTTCGAGGGCTGGCCCCAGTGAGTCCGCCGGGGGGAGCACACAGCATGGGGGCCGGGCACTGGGTCAGGCTGCATGGGGGGAGATCCCAGCACCCCACTGGCGCTGCTGCCTGGCTGGGGAATGCCATGTGAGGGGACTTCTCCCGAAGATGGAGAGAGGGGTCAGACCCCCCACCCCCGATCAGGGGCACAGAGGTGCCAGTGCAGTCAAAGGGGAAGCAGCTGTCTGGGATGTCCTGACCTCTCTGCCTTAGCTCAGCTGGACTGAGCCGCCCCCCCATGCAGCCTGACCCAGTGCCCGGCCCCCATGCTG